TAAAGGTTGAAGTTATCGTGTAAGTTTGTTTTAATTAGATAGTTAATAAAGCTTGAAGTTATCGTGTGAGCTTGTTTTAATTAGATAGTTAATAAAGGTTGAAGTTATCGTGTAAGTTTGTTTTAATTAGATAGTTAATAAAAGCCTGCTTAATGTAAGTTTGTTTTAATTAGACAGTTAATAAAATGCCTGTTTAATGTAATTATTTTTATATAGGTGTTGGTTCGGAAAGTTCCAGATGATCAACAGACTATAGAGATCAGAGTTGCTGTTCTGGGAAACATGGACGTCGGGAAGAGCACTCTGTTGGGCGTCTTGACCCAGGGTGACGTGGATAACGGTCGCGGCAGTGCCCGTCTTAATCTCTTTCGACACTTGCACGAGATACAGACGGGACGTACCTCCAGCATTAGCCACGAGATTCTGGGATTCGACTCGTGTGGCAACCCTATTACTTACAAAACGTGCCGTACGGCCGAGGAGATATGTGACCAGGCAACAAAACTTATCACTTTCATTGACTTGGCAGGACATCAGAAGTACATGAGGACCACCGTGTTTGGTCTCACAGGTATTATTATTATTTAATGTGCTAGGTAAGAATTTAATATATATATAAACACTTCAGGTACTTGTACTTAGCAGATAGGTCATTTTTTGTCATTCACAATGTTATTACCTCTGTTTGCTTGGCCTAAGTAATGGTAGACCCTGTGTATTTTTCTTAACAGGCCATTCACCCCATTTTGCTATGCTAGTGGTTAGTGCTGTAACAGGCATTGCAGGAACGACAAAGGAACACTTAGGATTAGCCTTAGCTTTGGGCGTGCCCATTGTTGTAGTCGTCAACAAGGTGGACCTGGCCAGCTCTCGTATGCTTCACCAAACTCTAAGACAACTGGAAGACTTACTTAAGGGCCCAGGATGTAACAAGGTTTGTAAAAAGCGTGTGAATACATGAAAGGCAAGGTTAACTGACAAAACTTGAATTTTGTTTAAATACCGAAAAAAAAGTTAATTGTATTTGCAACCAACTTTTTAAGTCGATGTGAACAACAGAAATGGTTGACGTTTTCGTTTTGGTCAGACAAGGTGTGTACAAAAGATACATTTTTTAATATGCAAATAAGATGATTGTAGAAAAAAAAAGATTTTGCATAATGATCACTCTAACTGTAAGATAATTTCATCGAGAGTATGACTTTTGACCCCTTTGTATTTCTTGGATATTTTGAGCTAAATCTTGAACAGAATTGCCTAAATATTTAAGTATTTGGTTAAAGAAATGTTTGGCTCATACTTTCATGTGCTCGAGAAGGAAGGAGATATTTCCGGAAAACAATTTTTTTTTTAAATTTTGGGGGATAAAAAAATAGTAAGAATATATAGGCAGTTTACCCCCTGTATCTTCTGTTGCACTCTAAGTTGTTCTGACCTTGTTCGAGTTTGTCAGTTTATTTATTTCTTTTGCCCTACTGGTTTTTATGTTTGAACACTTTCTTATTTAGATTAGAAAACATTATTGAGAATTGTAGTCTCAGAACGAGAATTTATATCTGAAATTTAGCTGCTGAAAGTGATGGTTTTGGGTTATGTAAAAATATTTTAGTTTTTCTCCAAGTTTAAAGGAGTTTCTTTCTAAATACCCAAGAAACGTAACTTTATATTTAGAACATAGAGATTATTCTTCAATTTTTAACCAGTTTTCTTAATTATATCCCAATGAAGAAATAAAAATTAATATTTTTTTTAAAGCTTGAGTTCATATTAAAAAAAAATGCCTGCACCATTAGGCTGTCATGTTTTTTAAATTTCATTTCTGTGGTGCATATTGATGTATAAAAGACATTTTAATACTAGAGTTTCACTGTCGGTTCTGCTTGACTTGGTTGGTTACAGTACCTTGAATCACACACAAAAAAAATACACCATCATAATTAGAATTAACTCCACTAATTACCACTAGGGGTCCTCTATGTATTTTATACAGAAAATCAGTAATTTAACCTAGTTGTTTTGACCACATCTTTACAATGATTGCTGTAACACATGAGAAAAAAATAACCCACCCATAACTGGTCCTTGTTTGTTTGTTTTTTGACATCTCTGTTGTTCTTAAGGTTTCTGTTAACAAATTTTGACTGGAATATCAAATTTTGAAGAGATATCTTTAATTTAATAATAGCATTATAAACTACATGATTATAGAGTGTTTACATTAGATTTGGTACCTGGATTGTTGTATGAAGGTTAACTGAGTTGTAATTTAAATATTTTCATTACATCAGGCTTGTGTGCAGGTGAAATCTGTTGACGATGCTTACAGCGCAGTGTCCATGGTAACAGATGGAAATATTGCTCCTGTATTCACTGTATCCTGTGTTACTGGAGCTGGAATAGACCTTTTATATACTTTTTTAAATGTAATGCCTCCAAACATTAGCGTGCTTGAAAGAGAGAGACTCATACAGCTACCGACCGAATTTCAGGTAAGTTTATTGGTTAAATGTAACTGTAGTAACAGGTTTTTTTTTCAGTGTATACATAATATAATTTTGCTTTATATATTTTATAATAAATAATTAGTACTAATATTTTTAAACTGGAGAGGTAAAAAAAAAGAAAGTAGTTACATAACTTAACACTAGATGGAGACACCATAGATAGTTAAATTGGCATGCAATATATAGTTTGTTAGTTACTGAACATAAGAATAATAATGGCTGGAGACGGCTTAAATGGGTAATGAAGAAAAACTTTAACATAAGTTTAACATGACAGCAAATGTACAACGTTTCGACAAGGTTTTGTCATCATCAGGTACAATGTTTTTATTTAGTTCATTTGTTTCTTAATGAACTTGTGTATTTCAAAAGTCAAAGATGGTAAGTTTAGAAGAATAATTATATTATTACCAGATAAAGATATTTATACAAGAAATAAACTCAACAATTCAAAAATAACATTTAAGTAATTGAAACAAAGTTTTGTGGACAAACAACTTCATATAAATTCACATCCATGCACTAAAAGTTTTATTTTTTATAAATATATTTATATGAATCACATTTTCTCTTTAAGTTAATAATTATAAAAATTTTAGTTAGCTCTATAAGTGTAGTAATTCTGTTCAAATTTAGTTTTGTTTGTTTTTTTCTGACAGAATTGTTCAACGAGTAAAGTGATTTAGAAAGATACGTTTCTCTCACTGGCTTCTGTGCATCGAGTTATATAAAACGTTGTGATTATGATTAATTTTGAAAGGTGGCATTGGTGTAATCCTTTTATAAATCCCTTTGTAAGATATCAATATTTATTTCTGCTCGCAGGTAGACGAAACCTTCAAACTGTCGGACGCCGGGATCATTGTAGGAGGTCTTTTAACACGAGGTGTTATACGTGAGGGGGATGAAATTTCTGTGGGACCTTTGGAAGACGGTTCTGTGTATCCCGTTAAGGTTGCATCCATTCATAGGCACAAGAAACCGTGTCGAGTCGTGCGAGCTTGCGAGAGCGCAACCCTTGCTCTCGTCGGATGTCAAAACATAAACATACGCAAAGGAATGATCCTGGCCAACTCTAACTCCCATCCTCCAGTCTGTATGTTTTTTCAGGCTCGTATTAACCTGTTGTTCCACGCCACACAGATCATGGAAGGCTTTCAAACGACTGTTCACGTTGGAAACGTTAGGCAGACTGCCATTGTTATGAAAATAATGGGGACTAAAGGCCTAGTAACCAATGACAATGGTGCAGTCATCTTCAGATTCATTAAACATCCAGAATGTATCCGCCCCGGGGCCCAGTTGCTCTTTCGGGAAGGTCCCACAAAAGGGATTGGTCAAGTGACCCAGGTGTTTAGATATTCAGATTTATCTCCTGTAAGCACCCACGCCCTTTAATGTTTTCCCACGAGCGAAGTTCATATGTTTATTTAGGGTGCACAGTTCATTCTTACAATAAACGTTTTTGAGTGTTTTCTCAAATTAATCAAGACCAGAGTAAAATATTGAAAAGTTTATAAAAATTAATGTTCTTCACAATAGCTTTTCTAGAGCTTGAAAATTATTAATTTTTTTTTTATTTTTCAATATTACACTTAGCCGTACTCATTTCTCTTTTTTTTTTACAAATTCAGTTACTTTGTTTTTTTTTGTATTTACTTGGTAATGATGAACTTTTGGGTCAAAGGTCTGACCTCGTATACTAGGACAGAAGGTTTTTAGTAATATCTAAAGTTTGCTAATGAAACATAACTGTTTTACAAAATATTTTCTTGGTTAGATGGAAGAAGTTATTTCTAATTTCATTATAAAGCTTTATTTTCTGTGAAGTGTTTTTTAATTTTTATGAATTATACTTCTTAAAATAAGACAGACAGAAAACCCATGCTGCTAGCTTCTTCTCAAATTATAAAATTGTTCTCACAATCAAGTTTTATATTTTATTAATTTTAATTACAAAAAAAATGTAAAATAAAGAACCATTTTCTTTTTTAAAAAAAATGTAAAAATATTTTAATTTATACTTTCATTGAAATATTTTAAAAAGTTTTTGGACACGTAATATTTTTATTACCAATGTTCTAAAATAATTTTAATTGGACTTGGCCATGGTTTTAATAAGATATTTCGTGATATTACTGTTTTAAAGTCTGATAAGACCAGCAATAGAATATGTTATAATGTCTTACCAACGAGACTCCCAGCTTACGTTTTAGTCTAAATTAAGAAATTCTCAAAAAAATTGTGAAAATTGTTTACATTTCTGTGATAGTAAATGTAATTGTAGAAGTATTTAATATGTATTTATGTAATGATTTTGTTGTTTTTTTCTATCCAGAACTATTCATTCTGCTTGTAAGCGTATTTTTCTTGTTGATAAAAGATTCTTCTGTTATACACTATAGTCATCTGTGTAGTAAATTTTTTTCTGTTTAATCATGTACAGATGTAATTACCTGTTAGAAAATTAAAAAAGTTACTGTTGTACTTGAGCGTTGTTTGTATAGCTGTCTCTTTGAGTACACGATTCACGTGCCTTCAGGTTTACTACTCCCACGCCATAACACCGGAATGTGGGTGTTGTTTTTATAAAATTTATGAATATATATATATATAGGAGTGTCACACTTAAAAACAATGACCTACAAAGAACGTGTAGCTATTTTCATTAAAAATCAAACTTGCAGAGTCTTAAACAAAATGAATGTTGTTTTCCGTTTTGTTATATTTCATTTTGTAAATACTACACGTTAGATGGCGCCACTTGATCATAACTTGCACTAAAATTCTTTATTGGACCCGGCAATCAAAACACCACGATACTCGGGATTAACATAATATTGGCTTTAATTACTCGAGCGGTTTGAATTCTCCACCTTCTTAGCATAATTTGTACACAAACACTCCAGTCGTTACCATAACAACATTTGATCATAAGACCTGGGAGGTGGTATCTTTATCGTTATTAAGATTTGTTGTAATTATCAGACCAAGTGTTTAGTTAAAAGTTAAGGTTTCTTTTAATTTATATTTATTGGAGAAAAAATGTTCAAACATCCAATGAGACTGCGTTTAAAAAAAAATAATTGCTGTTGGCACCAAAGTCAGTCTTGTTTTTGGCAGTATTATTGGAGTGTGATGATAAGGGACTTTTCGTGTCAGCGAATGTTACGTTTGACTAGAGTTTCTGATATTAAAGGTTTCTTTTCCACCTTCAATATCGTTTGTTCCCCCAATTTAAAGCCGTTATAAAGAACGTCCCAAAATTCCTTCCCCATCGGGAAATGAGGCTTTACATATCCACCAGGTGGCTCTTCTATTTTTATTATTATTTAAGAATCCAGGACTTTGAGGGAGAGCCGAAAGGAATAATGGTCCCACTGTTAAAATGAGTATTAACCAATATAGTTTACAATTTTTTTTATTGTATATATGAAGTTACTCTTGTTAAGTAGTTAGAAGCTGAGCACTGACTTATTGAAATTAATGATTTGATCCCGGTTGGTAGACAACCATTAACACCACGACAGTTATTATTCATGAAAACTGATTATATATATATATT